AAGTGACATCTGAAGGTGGTCTAGAATCTCTTTGATGGCCAAAGAGTTAAAGGTGTGTCCTGGAGGTAATATAATAAAAAAAATCTGCATTGTTAGGGAAAAATCAGAGAAGTGCTACAGTTCATGGGGAAGGGATAGAGGTTCTACCTGTTTTGGAGCTCTGTTTTCCTGCACTGGGAAGGAGTGCCCACCTGTGCTGGGGTTTTGTTGTGCTTGGCTGCAATCTCTTTGATCTTGGGGTTATCCAGAAGGGAAGGATCCCCGGGCTTAGCCCTACAGAGAGAAAACAAACCAGTGGCAAGAAACCTCTGCAGAAAGATTCAGCACAGCAAGAGAGATCTGTATTTAAATAAGAAATGAGTGGTGTGTGTGCAGTCTCAGTGCTTCAGTCATAACCCCCACCAGCTCCCTGGCAGATTGCAAAGCAAATTTACCATGGTCTATCAGGAGAGCCAAGGGGGCAGTATGCAGTCACAGCCAGCCCTTTGGACTGACAGTACTTGATCAGCTTCTCCTGGGTGAGGTATGGGTGAGATTCAATCTGCCAACACAAAAACAAACAGTCTGACAGTGGCAGAACTGCTGCAATATTGTGCTCCAGAAACTTTCCCCTAATCCAATTAGAGGCTGACTTTTTCCCTGATTTGACAATGGCCTCCATGATAATACCATGATAATAATGATACAAAGTGTTTACACAGTTTTTGCTGAGAGGTGTTTCACAAAACTCATCTCTGGGTTCTTTATTATCCCAGAAAGACTGTTTTCAGGAAAACTCTCACTTAAGCAGTGGTTGAGCAAGGTGATACAAAAAAAAATTAAAAAAAAAATAGAAGTATCTAAGTGCTGTACTCTGAAATATCCATAGAGAGGAATTTGAAGTACATGCTGGGTCTGCTTTGTTTTTCCTTTTTGCATCTCCTCATGCAATTGTAATTGGATCTTTATAATCCCACAAAACAAGTCCCCTGCAGTCATTTTGCAGCTCACCTGGACATTTGCAGGTTTGTGCTTCAGTCCTGGCTTGTTCAAGATTCTTTCAATCTGCTCATGGTTGAAGTTGGAGACACCAATGGCTTTAACCAGTCCACAGTCCACCAGCTCTTCCATGGCCTAAAACAACAAAATCATCATCCAGTGTGTAAGGCAGCTCATGATGATTTTCTTCTTAATGTGACTTGTTTCCCACCACAAGCAGCACAAGAGTACTATTTAGTGTTGCAAAGTTCTTTGAGGGAAAAGCAGATGCTGGCACATTAATGCCATTTCACCCAAGCCCAAATTCTCATTCCCTGAGTGTGTAGAAATTCACACTGAGTTGCATGAGGAGAAGAATGATGACACTCAGTGTGTCAAGAAGTGGAGGGCTGTCCCACACATTATAGGCCAGATTTCAACCTAAAATGTCTTTATTTCTGTGAAATTTGTTTGAGCAACTCAAGAAAGGCACAAGAACTGTGGTGAAAACAATTTGTTATTAAAACAAGTTGTTATTCTGCAGTGAGATTTTCTAGCTTCAGTGTGGTGGCCACTGGAAGTGCTTGTGCAGCTCCAGTCAAGTAAGACACTCAGAGAATAAGAATAACCAGGGAA